TATTTTAAAGTTTCAAATTGCATAAAATATTCCCTAAAGGCTATGGTGCATATTTTTAAAATTATAGAGCTTAGACGTCCAAAAATAGGGGCAATTGATATATCATAAAAAGAAGTATCTTTATTGGCCATGAATCTCAAGAAAAAATCAAATTTGAAAATTTTGAAAAAAAAAATGGGACCATATGAATTAAAATTTTAGCAAACTTATTGCCAAACAGAATGTCTCAAAATTATGAACCCAATGTCACCAAAATTTACCCAATAAAAGCTCAAATGGGTCCAAATTGAAGACCTGAAGTGTATTTGGAAGGTTTAAACAATAATTTGGATTACTAAATGATTTGCAAACGTGACATTCTTATAGTGTAATTGAGCGGCTTGACAAGAAAAATCCAAGGAGCCAAATGTTGATATCATTAAGACATTTAAATTCCTAGTAAATGGTTCACAATCAAAGAAATCAATATAAGTCCTTCATTCAAACCACTCCCAATTTACCCTTGATCTCTGCCATATTTACTGGTCATGCCACTCTCAAAAAACTGTAAATAGACCCCTCATTTCTCATGAAAGGGGAAGGAAGCAAGGAAGACAAGGAAGAGAGTTCTCTTGATACCAGACACTTCCATGAACACCACTAGACTATCGCTTAGCTACGGACTGTCAGCGGACTTCCACCTAGACACCAACGAATGTCAGACTTCTGACTGACCCCCACCAATTAACATCAAATTTTTGTTGACCACCAAATAATGTCAGACTTCCGCTCAATTGTTGACAGACATTAGACTTTCGATCGACCAATGATCAACTTCATACTTCCACTAGGCAGCCAATCGACACCCAATTTCTAACCGGCCATGGATTGACGCCGGACTTTCATCTAACCTCCATTGTAACTAGATTTCAACCTGACATTTGACCATTATAATAAGATTGCCCTTAATTTCTAGGATGAATCAGTCACATGTAATCTAGTCAAACACTAGTGGAAACATTTCAATTGGGCATGGCTCTATGGTTTTTCCCTTTTTAGGATTTTTCAAGTAAAAATCCTCGTGTTTATTTTTTTCCTTTTGTTTGTGTGCTCAATATCCGTAAAATGCTAAGAGAAAAAGTTCTAACTCTATCGCAGTATATATTCTAGCCCGCAATAAGTATATATATAAGTAGTGCAATCCAATTTTAAAATAAGATCTCGATCAAAAATTTATGTACGGGATGAATATGTGCATGTAAGGTTCAAACACATAAATTCATGAAAAGTACTCATCAAATTGGTATCAATACGATCTCATATAATTTTAAAATATTATAAAGAAAAAATATGATCAAAAGCAAAGATTGATGCCTCTGTTTAAAATTGCGCAATAAGAGGCGCGCCTCTCCGCAATTCCTCCCAAAATCGCCTTGAAGCCTACGCAATTCCACCTCTGTAAGAGGCGTACGCCTAACTGGGATTGAGGCGCGCCTCAGAGGCGCAATTGCCCAATTCTTAGTGAGGCGCACACCTCATGGGAATGGGCCCACTCACTTAAAATGAAGTTTATTTCTCCTTATTCCCGAACGGCAACAGCTCTCCCAAAATTTCCCCATCCCGCACACTCCAGTTCACGAAACAGAGGGAGCCTGCACGATGCTTACCCATCGGCTTCCTTCTCACCGCTTCTCCCGCCGACGCCGCCTCTCTCCGGCGAAGTTGAAACTTCCAGCCGCCCTCTAGGAGCACTCCACATTGGATTTTAGGTAGTTTTTTAAGTTTAGGGTTAGATTTTTCAAGTTTAAGAAAATCTAGAGTTTATGTTTTTTTATTGTTTTTTTGGATTTTTGCTTTAGGATACATGGTTAGATGTAAAGAAAGGCGAATACGTCATTACTGTGTGACCCTTCTTGGATATATAGCGTGCAAGTTGACGTAGGAGGGGGCGAGAAAACATATGTCTATTTAAAATGAAATTTTTGTGAGAAAGTGGTGAAGGGCAAAGTAACCCGCATGAAGGAGCACTTATCATGCTCTCATAAGAACGTAGCAGCGTATGCAAAAGTGCCGGACAATGTGAAGGAAGAAATAAGTGCTTACATGAAGAAAACTACCACGACGAAACACTTACAACAGGGACATTTGATGAAAGGGTCGAACATGGTGCTTATTTTGGGAGCGAGAGTAGAAAGGGGTCTTCCTCCACTATACATAATAGAGGTGCACGGGGTCCTATGGATCAGCATATGACCAATCCAAGAGAGGATAGAGGAATAGCAGAGATGATGCCTACAGCTGGAACTAGAGAGGGTCGGTGACAGGTTTGCATGGACATTGGGAGGTTTTTTTTAGAATGCCATACCATTTAATGTTGCTACATCGCCTGTCTACTTCACTATGCTGCAGTTTGTTCGGTTGTATGGGAGAGGGTTGAAGGCACCTTCCATGTATGAGTTGTGAACATGAATTTTAAAGGAGGAGCTGCAGAATACAGAGCAGAGAATTGATGAGATTAAAAGGATATGGATTGAGACTGGTGTGACCATTATGTCAGATGGATGGTCTGACATGAAGAGTAGGAGCTTGATTAATATCCTTGTCAACAATCCCTATGGCACAGTGTTTTTATGATCAGTTGAAGCGTTAGATGAGGTGAAAAATGCTACATTCATTTTCAATTTACTTGATGAGGTTATTGAGGAGATTGGAGAGCAATTGGTTATCCAGGTAGTGACTAATAATGCCAGTGCATATAAGCAGCTGGTCAGATGTTGATGGAGAAGAGAACACACCTATATCGGACCCCCTGCGCAGCACATTATATCGATCACATTTTGGAGGATCTTGGTGACTTACCTCAGCACAAGAGTGCTCTTTCTAGGGTGAAGAAGATTACAAAGTTTATCTACAATCACTCATAGGTCTTAAGCTTGATGAGAAAGTTTTCAAAGAAGGAAATCATTCGCCCTGCAACCACTAGGTATGCTCTTAAATTTGTACACTGCAAATTATTATTGCAATTCCTACTGTATGTTTTTAGTTCTTACATTTGTGCACTGTAAATCTATAGGTTTGCCACATCCTATTTGACACTGCAGAGCCTGATGGAAGTGAGGCAACCTTTGGAAGCAATGTTTACATCAACTGAATGGCTTAACTCTGCTTGGGGGAAGAAAAGTGAGTGGAAGGAAATAAGAAAGATTATTCTGAATGATAAATTTTGGGCTATTGTGACCTATGCCATATTGAGCACGAGACCCTTAGTGCAAGTACTATGCTTAGTGGATGCAGAGAAGAAACCAGCTATGCGTTTTATTTATAATGCTATGGATGAGGCCAAGGAGTTGATTGCACACAACTTGGGAGGAGAGGAGGCAAATTATAGGGAGATTTGGGATATCATTGATGCTCGGTGGGAGGTGCAGTTACACCGTCATCTACATGCAGAGGCATATTATCTCAATCCTCAATTTCAATATTCATAGAAGAAATCTTCAAACCTGGAGGTGAAGCTTGGTTTGTATCATTGTATGGAAAGACTAATACCGGAGTAGGCAGATAGGGAGCTTGCTGATTTACAACATGTTCTATTCCAGAATAAAGAGGGTTTTTTTTTGTCTGAATGCAGCAAAAGCAACCATTGCCAAACGGTCTCCAGGTATAGTTATTTGTGCAAATGCAAGACACTTTATTCAGTTCTGATTATATTTTTTTCTTCTTGAAAATAATTGAATGGTGGATCCAATTTGGTGATTCCACCTCTGAGTTACAGAGTTTTTCTGTAAGAGTGTTGGGCCTCACTTGTTCTTCTTCTGGGTGTGAGTGAAGCTGGAGTACATATAGTCAAGTGCAAACAAAGAGAAGAAATCGGCTATCAACACTCAAAATGAACTCCCTCATATATATTATGCACAATAAGAGGTTAAGAGATAGGAGGTTGAGGAATAAGGGGTTGAAGGATGATGAGGACCCATTGGTGTGTGATGATGTGTCATCTGATAATGAGTGGTTCATAGATGATGAGACAGATTTGCCATTATTAGACATACAGCTAGAAGATCTAAGTGTGGATGTCTTGAGGGGCGAAGGAGATCAAGTTAGCACATCCATTAGTACCACACCACACACATCTACTAGCTCTGCAGCACAACAATCAAGTAAATGTATTCCATAACTTCTTATATTCTATTGCATTATATTTATATCAAGTGAGCAATTAACATGATAATGATCTTTTCTCTTATTGAACAGGGAAGAGAAAAGTGAGTCATATTGAAGATGATGATGATATGGCATTCATAGACACAATTGGAGAAGAAGATTCCCTTGAAGACCCATTTAGTGATGGGATATGATTGCATTTTATATGTTTTTGTACTTTGGGTGTTTTGTTAAACTAATATTTTGTGATTTTATACTTTGGGACATGATTTTATTGCATCTACTTTCTTACTTTCCACTATTTACATATATCATTTAGATGTTTTTATTGTAAGATACAATATTTATATTATTTTCCTGCTAAAACCTTTAATTTTTCATTTACGCAATTCTGTGTCCGTGAGGCTTACGCCTCAGACTGCCTCGAAGCTAACGCCTCGCCTCATGGACGAAAACTGCCTCGATGCTTAATTATGCAATTTTAAACCTTGATTGATGCCAAAAAATAGGTCAATGGTCACCACCCCACAGTTAGCCACCACTTCCATTTATAACCACCCCACTTATGGCAACTACCTGTCGGCCACCACTGTTGCCACCCTATCAACAGTTGCCTATTAAGTGAAAATTATGTTGTAATTTTATTTGACTAATCTTAGTAAAAATGTGTATTTTAGTTCATGTTGTGTAGGAATATCTTAGGAAAAGAACCAACATTTATAAAGTTTAGGAGCACTGTCATAGCACCGAAACTATAAACATTGAAGTGTAACCAATGCCCCGGCATCAGATCAGGAAATTGCAGCATACGAGTCCAAGATTTTTTCTTATAAATTGAGGGGGGAAACAGATTAATATATTAGAGACTATCAGTAGTAATCAAAGTCCAATTCTCTTGTGCTGGTCTAAGTCTTATCATGTAAATTATGAAAAAATTAATTGAGACAATTGAACACCGTTGGCAGCAATCTAAGCCACATCCTCTGGTCATTCTTTTATGCAAGCACATATTTTCTTTTGTAGATTGAAGGAAAAAAATGGATTAGTAGAGTTGGAGGCTGTTGGCAGCAATCAAAGCCTGATTCTCTTGATGCAATCAATTAGTCAAGATGCCATTGGAGTCTGTCGAGCAGTGGTAACCCAACAAAGGTAGTTGGGTGATGTTCTGACATTGGAAATCTAGTGGTGTAGTAATGGAGGTGGTCGGTCAGTTACACCCAACCCAATATAACCCATAGAAAAAACATGTCAAATTATGTTGAGCAATGATATAACATGTCAAAGTTCTAAGATTTCGAGATTTTATGGATTTTAATAATTAAAAATAGATTATAGAGCTAATATTAAACTTTAACAACAACAACAACAACAAGCCTTTATCCCACTACGTGAGGTCGGCTACATG